AATTAAGCGGCTGCAGTATGAACAAAGTCAGAATGCTCTGAGAATTGTCAGGGCACTACTTGGGTCGTGTTCTGGAATTCTTGAGACGGGGAGGGAAAGTTGGTAGGGTTCCTGGATCCATATGATTTGAAGATTCGAAAATAGCCCACTTCACGAAGCGAAAGTGGTCTTCGGAAGTTGATTTTCAACAAGTTTCCCCGTCCATTCTGCCCTAATAGCGTGTCTTCCAGCTTGTCGTAAGCATTGGCACCCACCCATCATAAGGAAGCTTGATTCAGCTAATTCACCTGAGAACTGTCCGCGAAAAAATCGTTTTCGCAAGAATCTTCTCAAGGCCTACCTGATCTCTCAGAATCTCTGGGAGCTATCCGTAAAAAAATCGTTTTCGCAAAAATCTTCTCAAGGCCTACCTGATCTCTCAGAATTGAAAAAAATAGAGCTGTTTACCATACTTCTAGGGAACCTACCAAAGGGGAATAGCGTTGTGGCTCGAGTTGTTACCGTGTTTGTCTATTGCTTACTTTTATGCTCACCATGCAAAAATTTCTTTCTCACTGACCGTATCGGGTCCGTACCCTATAATATGTAGTGGAAACTACTCTTGATGGCCGCCTGACTGGTGTTCTTACAATTTTAGCCCATAACCTTGCTTTTTTGTAAGATGGCGAAACGTTCGGAAGTGATCGAGACCCCGAAAATGATCCTCCAGCTTGATGGAGCATTCGGCATTAGAGGTGTACGATGATTATTCATGTCGATAGAATTGGGTCATGCAAAACATCGCAATTTCCTTCGAAAATTGCCAGATTATGGATTATGGGCTATAAATGAAGAAATCGGAATTATAGGGTCATCTTTTTTCGACCATTCATGTTCACCACCGATATATTTATGGAAAAAGTCCCATTTCTGAATCACGGGTCGTGCAGATAACTCCCGAGGCCGTTCAGGTGCGGGAAGCTCCTTAAAAGGGGCTATCGATCGGGCCTGGAGACCATTGATAGTCCTACCTCCCTCTATGGCGTAGATATCACGCCCTATCATAGACCTTAGGGAGGGGGAAAGCTGTAAATGGAGTCGGACATAAACCAAGCTACGACGTGGAGCTCATTTGGTGTCAGATTTAGCTCTACCTATTATGTATAGGGTGGAGGTGGTGTAGTGGCTAGTGCACACTGTCTCACACACATGGTTTCGAATCCCGGACCGATATCCGTCTAGGCCAACCAATTCTGGTACCCCTTAATTGGTGCAAACTCGTTTGGGAGGAGAAAAGCACTAACTTGTACATCGGCTGACCACTGCAATTCATTGTATAGGCCATACACGCATTTAAATGCCACTACAATCTAAATGGAAGTCGAATGCAGGGCACATCCCTAAGACGGGATAGATCAACGCCCAAAGATTCATCCTTTTATTACACGTGCAGGAGATTTCATAGAAATCTACCTCAATCACGTTTTTGTCGATATCGATCCAAAAAGTTTATTGGGGATGCCACCTTTTTCGGTTTTTCGTTTCGAATCAATTATGGCTGTCACCCAACTTGCAGAGCAAAGATTACGTCGGAAGTTTGTCTGAGTGGAACGACCGCCACGAACCAGAACGACAAGTTTTTTTTCCAGTCGGCAATTTTGTAGATTCCGATCGCATCATTCGATCAGCTAACGAGGACACCGTGTTGCATAGACGTAAGGGAGGCAAGAGACGATTCGTTGACTTCGCTGATTGCTAGGATAGTTTGTTGAGCCCACATTGAGATCAATTAAAGTTCTCTGAAGAAAAAGGGCATGCCAAATTGAACTTCTCGAAAACAGCTTACGCCTGCTATCCAAACAGGTGATTATTGGCTCATTCATTAGGCGAGGTTGTTTCCAGGAAGATAGAGTTCTATCCTTTTGAGGAGTAGGGGAAAATTAGTAGGGTGTTTGCAAAATCCCAAAAAAAAACTAAAACCCAGCGCATAATAATAGAATTTTCGCATCGTAGATATTACAGTCACTACACTTACAGTCACTTACAACGCTATGATCCTGTTTCCCAGACATTCCATCAGATTGTCGTAATAAATTGAACCAATCGCTTTCTAAGGGGGCAAAGTTTTGGATCTTTTCTAGAGCAATATTAGCGAAGAAACAGGGTCAAGCATAACGGCGCGCAGAAAGTGGTCTTACTCAGCGAACTCCACGATTTTTGTCCTTATAAATAGGTTGCCATAATTATCTAACAAGCAAAAAACAAACAATTCAAATATTATTACGTACGTTATTTTAATCTATAACTTCGAAGTTTTTCAAAATCAAATGATTATCGAACAGTTCACACGTTCTCACGCCTTTGGAAAGTACTGGCTCTTTCAAGTGGCCGTAGATCGCATAAAAGCTTATTCAGTGAAAATTACTGGCTGTCCTATCCACTTCAGCATTACTTGAGTAAATTCCAGAAAGGAAATTAGTTATAAGGTGTGTACATGTGTTGGCTCAAACGTTCTGATCGAAATATTCATCGATCTTCGCTCCAATCACTGAATTAATCCAACGATTCTGAACGGAGTAGATCCCCCAGTGGGAAAGAGGCGTCAATTCTGATTCACGGACTCGCCTTACTATTCATAGGCGTTTTCAGGGACCTTGAAAGACCACATAACGAGGGCTAAGTTGCTTTCTCTATGAAATCTCTGAAGGAGGTTGTCGATTTATGGGGTGGCCATTGTGTGGGAGATTTATCATTTAGGAACTCAATGAGCGTACAGGTAGACCACATGGTCTAGGCTGAGAAGGATTTAAGATACTAGATGATTGAAAATAAATATTTTCAGCAGAAAAAGACTTGCCAATGTACTGATTCGTACTTTTTTTTTCTACGAAAACTGTAACAAATGATCTGAATTAGGGAATTTTTCATCTTCACACCATTTTTGCAAAAATCTCATCTCATTCTAATACTTTTTTTTATCAAAAACAATCAATAAATTACTATTTTTCAGATGTCCTCACTCTTTCATGGGGTCACTTCCACGAACGAGCATCATCGTCTGTTATTTCAACGAATCACCATCGGTACTGATCCGTATGGTAAACTCGATTATCGATCGAACACCATTGGATCTGATCCAAGAAATTCTGCTCATCGATGATAGCAGCGAATGGCGTGAGTTTTCTATCGTTTTTTCGATTCTTTATATCCCCAGTGTGAAATCTTTTGAGTCATCATTCCCACGCAAAATCAGAAGACATGGCGTATTCCTTTACCACTGTTAATCATTTATGGCGTTGCCTTGTCTAAAAAATCACCAATAAATATTATATTGTATGAAATTATGATTATTTTTATTATTTGGCTCTTGATTCTTAGCAATTTGGTTTTTAATTGAATATTTATTGCCATATTTTTGAATATTTATGCTAATATTCCATAAAAATTTTATTTCCAGCCGAAGCCTCTCTTCAAGCTGCCGATTATCAACGGAAACATCCCCAATGGAGTATGGTGAAGTTCCTTCAGACCCCTTCCAATCAAGGCCTCATCAGGGCGAAAGTCTTTGGTGCACGTAAAGCTCGAGGAGAAGTACTGGTAGGATTTTTCAGTTTCACAACTTCTTTGTTCGATAATTGTTGTCTGGTACACAAATAATAAGCAAATAAACAAACAAAATAAACAATTCGTAGAAAAAGCCAAGTTCCATTTCTGTAAGGCAGTAGGTGGCAAGAAGCGTTGCTGTGAACTCATAAAAGTAACTTGGAATGAATTTTCGTGTAGTTTTATATAAGTGTTAAATATTGTTTACTGTTTACTTGTTTACCATTGCCCATTATTTACTAACAACATATTTTAGGTGTTTCTTGACAGCCATTGCGAAGTGAATCAAGAATGGTTACAGCCGCTGTAAACAACTGAGATGGTATTTGTTTATTGTTATTTTGCTTCTGTGATCTACCATATTATTTTGATCTACAGAGTGGTCTGCCCGATCATCGATATTATCGATTTGGATACGATGAAATACGTGGAATCGCCCGTGTGCAAAGGTGGTCTCAATTGGGGGCTTACTTTCAAAGTGAGTGGTCCTTATGACTTCTTTACCAGTTCGAATTTTACTTTATTACCTAATTCAACTGATTTTCAGTGGGACTATCCCCCACATACGTATTTCTCCCAAGACCACAAGAATTTCATTCGTCCCCTGAAATCCGCCACCATGGCTGGAGGGCTGTTCGCCATCGATCGGTCATATTTCTTCAAGATCGGTTCCTACGATGAGGGAATGGATGTGTGGGGAGCGGAAAATGTGGAAATCTCCTTCCGGGTAAGTCCTTTCTCCTCTACTTCACTATTTTACCACGAAAATACGGGATTGTACGGATTTTCTGATTTTCTTCTTACTAATGAGACTTCCGACTTGTTGTTTTCTATTTTTTTTTGTTTTTTTTCTGTTTTTTTTTGTTTTCAAAAAACTTCTTATGTGGACTTCGCTTCAGATTTGGATGTGTGGTGGTGAACTGGAAATAATTCCGTGTAGTCGTGTTGGACACATCTTCAGGTTCATCTTATCCTCTCCTTTCTTCATGTTTATTCCTTATTCTTGTTTACGGTGTTATTTATTTTGTATTTTTTTATTTGAATAACTTACAATCTTTTGTCCGGTTCCCTCCTTTTCCCTCTGTTATCTAGATGAGTTTCAGGAGAAAGCGCCCATATGGCTTGGCGTCTGACTCGATGGGGAAGAATTCTGTAAGGGCAGCTCGTGTATGGCTCGACGAATATCTCGTGAGTTTTCGTCATTAGTTAATTTTATGCCCATTTTTCAGTCTTTCGCGTGCTAGGCAAATAAATACTTGGATGATGTATTTTATTTACTAGATGAGCGGTAAATAATAAATAAATAAGCATTCAAGGCTAAAAATAGACTCTGATGTTTTTCAGCCTGAATTCTTCAAAGCTCGTCCGTATTTGGAAATGAGAACGGATTATGGTGACATCTCGGACCGGCTTCAGCTGAAAAAGAACTTACAATGCAAACCGTTCAAGTGGTAAGACCTTAGTTCTTATAGCTTTTTAGGGGGATGCGATAAATTAGTTCTGAAGAGAGGAAGCCTAGGCATGAGGAAAGGATGTGAGGGGGGAGGTTGGTTGGAAAAGCAGCTCGATACGTTTTCTATAAGGGAGGTTCTAATTCAAAGGTCCTCAGCTGATGACACTATCTTAACCCGCCTCCATTTTCCGCTCCCAAAAAGAAGAATGAGTTCTCCTCAGAAAAGGGGATAGCCGGGCTAACATCCATTTTGTATTAAAAAACAAAAAAGAAAATAGTTCAGTTAAAAAGGTAGCCGGTGAAATTATGGTAGAACCCAAAGGATCGATACAGCAACTTCGAGGTATCTTCCGGATGGATAGGTGGACCAGGGTGATAAATACCGAGCTATTTCAGACGAATACTCATTCGATATTTGGTTCATTCAATGAATTATATACTTATTTAGGTTCAGGAAATATACATATTTTGAATTGTTTTTATAAGAAGATGTGAAACAAGTTCGTGTTTGCTTACTATTTGTTTATGTTCGAAGTGTTTATATGACAGACGTTTTAGCCGTATCGGCTTCGTCAAGGCTAGGATTGTCGAGAAAAAATATGACGTTGTTTTCAAAACACTAGAAAAGGGGGTACGGACGGAAAAATGGGGAAAAAACTCCAACGTTGTTGTCATAACGGCTGTAAAAGCAAAATTCAATTGGCAAAGTTTTGAAATTTTCCAGATTTCATGGTTGTTCGTAACGAGACCTGTTCAGGAACTCACTCCTCATTAAAATAGTCACCTTCTCATCTCTAATGGTTATTCCTGATAAAGAATCTAAACCATTGGGCATAAATATGTGTAGTCACGAGACACATCTAGAGGCACAGTTCATGACAAAAATGATTTCTTAAATTTCTCCCTATGATGAATTCGTAAACCCTAACGATAGTTCAAGAGACGTTGTTAAATCAAAAAACGGCCTAGATAGGGCCTTAGAAGGGTTTCAAAACTGGCGTGGACGGCGTACACACTCAAGGGCAACCGAGTTCTCGATGTTGTGTAAGATGTAGGAGTGCTGAAATTTATCTTGGATTATGCTTTCAAACGCTATTATGGGGCTGGGAAGGGAAATTACTATTGGAATTTCGACTAATGCCTTTGGGATGACATCACTAGGACCGGTTCATTTTCAAAACGACAGATACATACTGGAAATGTTTGCGATGATCAGTGTGTCAATGAAAACTGGCTTTCCCACCCATTTCTGAGCGACGTCCCACTTTTTTCAGCTCTAATTGTCTCCACAAGAACGACTTGGGTGGCTAGAAGTGCTATACAACACGAACATCTCGAATATTCAAAGTTAGGGGTCTTGAAAGTAGGCTGACTGAACTGTCGATAATTCAAAGGAATGGGGCTTGGTACAGTCGAAGCAAAACCAACAATCAAATTTTAATTTGGTGGCAGAATAAAAGAGGCTAGAATAGAACCATACAGATTTTCAATCGAAATGGAAATTTACCACTCGAAAATAATGAGAATGAAAGGATATTCAGTCACAAAATCGTAGGACGCAAATAGGAACTTTGCAGATTTGTTTCATTCCAAACCTAAAAAGGTGTATACCAGGATGATTGCTCGAATTAAACTAAAATTGCTAGTAGTTCATTTTCTTTCAATTCTCTTCATTTCGATTCTTCCATCTTATCTTCCTACCGTTTCTTCTCATTTTTCTCACTCTATAGAAATTTTCTTTATGGGCTATCTTCTAGATTTCTTTCCTCGAATTTCAGGTATTTGGAAAACATCTACCCTGAACTTCTACCTGGGAATATTCCAGATAAGTTGGACATGGTAAAAACCCCTGTACAAAACGGCAAGAAGTTCCAGGTTGGAAAGAGGTTCTTCATTTCAGATGGATTTTATCTTAAAATAACCGGCTTTAGATTCGCCTAGCCAATTCAACGTTTTGCCTCGCTGCCGAAACCACAAATGGACGTATTGCTCGAGGAAATCGAGTTGAAATGGAAGTTTGTCATGGGAAACGTAATCAACAATGGAGGTGGACCGAGATTGTAAGTCCTTTCAATTTTGCTCATGTTTGTTTGTGGAATACTCGAAAGAATACCGAGGTGGTGGAAGTAAAAACAAATTTGGGTTGCCGTGAAATTCGGTAGTAAGAATTCGTGATATTGGAGATGGAATAGCTGGTGGCTGGTAGGATTGGTTGGACGCAACATCGAAGCCTCAATAATATCCAGCAATAACTAAATACGAAATAAGTGGAATTCAAATCAAAAACAACAAATGCAAATTCCTTTTGCCAGTTTCGCATGCCACCCCTTCCCCTTCTTATTGAACTTTGACGGTTAGGGAGTAATCGGATTTGTTGGGACAACTGCCCCTCATCGGAAAGGATGGAGGATGGAGTTACTGGCGTCAATTAGTCTCGTCTGAGGGATGCGCCCTGCATTCGACTTCCATTCAGAATTGTACTGACGTCTAAATGCATATGTGAACCGAACCCCAGACCATGCATGTGTGATAGTGCGCTGCTTGTCACTATACCACTTCCGCCCCCCATTGTTGATAAATGAGTAGGCAAGCCCTCTCCAACAACCTTGCAAAGTGTCCTGTTTCAAAAAGTTTCAAAATCTCAAAACTCCGAAATGAAGAAGAGCTTTAAATGGTAAATTTGTGAGAATCTCTGAGTACTTCTGAGGTGTTCTCTAACTATTTTATGAGTTTAGCTAGTTTCATAGTTTAATTATCTCAGGTTTACCAGAGTCGAATCAAATGTTCGCAAGTAAAGCGTTGGTACTTATTACTGTTCTGAGTCCATTGCTGCTATTTTCCACGTTCGGTCTTCTTGAAACCTGGGCATTTACATAATTCTCCCAAGGTTTGCCGTACAAGTTTGTTATTATGGAACCGTTTATTGGTCGACGTTTCGTACAAATCGTCGTCTTCAGGACCAGAAAGCAGTTCGGAGCTCCTGATCTATGACTTAAATCTGATTTGATTTGATCTTGCGTTTGGGCGCTTGGTCGGGTAAGTCACAGATCAGGAGCTCCGAACTGCTTTCAGGTCCCAAAGACGACGATTTTGGAAACGTCGACCAATAAACGGTTCCAACATAACGAACCTGTACGGTAAAGCATCGTGAAGATTGGTGTTATAATTACAATTAAGGACATTTTTTTCAGTGCTTCACACAGTATGACTCCATTTCAGCCATTCTTCACTCTCACTGCTCGTTTATTCTAATTCACTGCTTCTTTGAATCTGTTAAAAAAATGAATAATAGAAAATTATTCAAAAAAATTAAATAATTTAATAATAGTAAAATAAAGAAACAATAATAAATATAAAAGATAAATAATATACACTTAATAGCGTAATTGATAATAAAATATTAATTAATGATATACATGTAATAAGTTATAAATGACCACATACTTCATTATTAAAATAAAGTTAACTATTCCAACTCAAGACTGTTGCAAAAATTTCACCACCGCCCGGCCAGAGAACTAACTGTTCCGAACCTGTATCCGAATAATGCAGCCGATTTCAGAACGAGTTCCGTCCTATGGGCTCGTCTCGGCTCTGCCTCGATTCACTCAAAGGTGTTTCACTATTGAAATGCCATAATCAGCGGGCCCATCAAGATTGGAAGGTTACGGTATGTTGTAGAGGGAGTCTTTTCGAAGAAACACTGGTTAAGTTGATGCAATATTCAGAAGGAAGGCAAATTCTACAACAAAGCAATGGGGAAATGTATCAAAGCTGACGCCGAGTTGCTGTCGTTAGCCGTCCTTCAATTCTGTTCACTGGCTAGCAACTTCTTGGTCGAAGAACTGACCGCTGTGTGATTGTCTGAAGATTGCTAACTTTGAGAAACGGGTTTCTAGTAGACAAAGAAACAAAATTTCTTAATACCGCGTTAAATCCGGAAGCGGCGCGTCCCATAATTTGCCTACTCGCTGCCTTTACTAGTTTCCCCAACCACTCCAAATCTTCGAACTGATTTTAATGGTCGAGGTTGAATCCTTTACAAGGAAAATGACTCAGTGAAGAGCTCCCAGTTTGTTGCTCTGTGCATTAAGGGATAAGTCAGAGCAGTTTCGAAGGGCATGCTATGCCGCGAGACAACTAGCAAACAGTGAGGCGGTAATCTGGAGCATTCTGCACAGCAAACCAACTAATTCACTAACAGTAGCTAATTAATACCTGTTGCGATCGATCATAAAGCGAGTTGTGCAGTGTGTCATTTTGCTAACAACAAGACAACTAACTAAGACATGTTACCAAGCGAGACAACTAGCTAGGAGTCGCTGGGATCGGGGCTCCCACAACACAGACTAAATTTTCTACCTATCATCCATACTGATGAGACAGGTCTATATACGAGTCTCAATTCAGTCTGGGACCAATTCCTTCCCAGAACATCTGAGAACCATTCTTCTTTCATACCCTCGGGTGATGCGCGAATTATGGGACATTGTGTTCACATTGGTAATTCATTCACTTTCATGGGCCTTTCCATGATTGTTCATCAGGAAGGATTTGTTTGATGCTTTCAAGTTTTTCATATTCGTACATTGATGTCTGAGAATTATGTCAACCGGTGTATTTTCGTTTTCGCTGATTTCTACTTCTTCGTAATAGGGCTTTATAGTAGTCATGTCCCTGGCAGAACGTCTTTTCCGAAGGTTGAGAGGCTTCAGAATCACTTCGCCTAAGGACGCGGTGAATTTCGTGAATAGAATCGTGGCTAAGACGTTTTTAGATACGTAGCTGACATTCCATCTTCTTCGCCTTCTTCATACCCTAACTTTTTTTCGGTAATAACTGGTAATTGAGATCAATTGCGTATGCTTTCTTAGTTGATCCGGCACGATTCAGTGCTAAGTCCTCACTGCTCGTGATGGACTTCTCGGACATTTTGACCAAATGCCCTTTTACTAATTCTGCAGTTATACTGGGTAATATGGTCGACGTGTATCTCGCCCATTTGTGATTGTATTGATTGATTTATTTGTGGAATGAATTTTATTATATGATGCTGTTAATTCATCCACATTACATGACAACAAGTCGTAAGGGATAAACGAAGACAAATTCAAATTACCGTTTATATTTATTGAATCTTATTTTTTATTTATATTTATGAAGTTACATTATTATTTTTACTTATGTTTTATTATTATTACTATAATTGTTATTATTATAATTTATTGAAATTTACTATTATTACTATAATTGTTATTATTATAATTTATTAAAATTTACTATTAGTTACTGTTATTTATTTTTATTTATTATTATTATTATTATTATTATTATTATTGCTATTTACTTCAATTCACTGCCTTTATATTTGATACTGTTAGTAAAAATTAAGCTACAATATCGAAATTTTCTTGAAAAGTTATTCTCACGATACAGTATCGTTAAAACAGATAATGATTGGCTGGCTTCAATGAATCCTTTTGAGAATGCTCTGTTCCACTACCATTCGAAACCATGGGATAATGCTTACTCAGGTAGTTTAAGTATATTGGGTTGGAAGATGAGTGCTGCAACTCTTTGTGTTTTTTTAAGAAGTTGAACGCTTTTTGAATGTTTTGGCGCTCAATTGCTAGAGAATGTTCTCAAATGATTTCGGAACTAGACGTGAAAGGGCTTCGTAAAGACTACTGGACCAACAAACTACAGACAATAGGACCAAGCTACCGTTCGTCCTATTTCTTATTCGAGTTCTGCACGAACACTTGCCAGGGTCAGGCAAACATGTGCACTATATTCAAGATGGATTGATTCACTATTCAGTGGTGTCCCGACAGCAGCTCAGCTTAATGTAGAGCAGTAGCGGAGAGTTCAGCAGATGCAGGAAAGCAGCTTTGTAACCCCAACAAAATCGCAACGTTATTACTGGACCAAGATCTCCTAATGAATTGAAAGCGTTTCTGTTTCCCTCGGCAGTGATACCGCTGCTGTACGGCGCGAAATGCTGGTCTTCCCATAAGCAGATGAAGAGAAACTTTGTTATGATGTAGATACCAATGAAATGCAGAATTGCAAAGTGTCTCTCCGTGAACATATCACAGTTACAGAGCAGCGAAGGCGAAGTGGCTCTGTTGATGTTGTAAAGAAAATGCATAAACCTAAGCGGGGCCTAAATGGGCCGGCCACAATGCTCGTTTGAAAGACTACCGATGAATCTTCCGGCTAACAAATTGGATCACTGGATCAGAAGCCAGCGCTTGGAAGGCCTAAGGTAAAGTGGATCGATCCTATGGTTAATATTCCTGGCCAGCACTGGAGAAGACATGCGAACGTGGCCGGAATGATGGAATGGAATGATCCGTTGGGGCCACATCCTGCTTACTCACCGAACCAAAGGTTTTCTGATTATCACTTATTAGAAACACTGAAGCACCATTTGAAGGACAGAAATTTTGTTGATCGTCGCCAACTCAAAAGTGAAATCGGCTGGTTCTTTTCGTTGCATCTGTCTGGAGGAGAGGGATTGAGAAGGTGTCCGAAATTGGGCAGTGTTTCAGATGACAGTTGATCTTCTCTCCCTGACTGAAAGTTTTGTATAATAAAAAAAATCTAGAATTTAAAATCGGTTCAGTATGCTGCAAGACTGTTTCTCCAACCTGATATGTATGTAGTTGAGTGTAACATGAATAGATAACAATTATTGTACCATTCAAGAATACATTAAGGTGATATAAGTTAGAAACATGCATTAGGGAATTTGGTACATTAGAATACAGCGGGAAATAGATTTTCAGTTTTTCAAGTTTATAATGATATGTTTTATAAGTGTTTTTCGAATTTCGACCGTTTCATAGTATACCTCCTCTTTAAATAACAGTTATTTACACAAACTCAACAGTGTACTTCATGAAAATTGATAATCAGTTGATGCACCCTGTTTGGATGAGGGCTTCATGAGTCTGAGTCATATTCCATGCTATGTTCTTGAGGACTGAAGGGCCGATGTTTCTCCCCGCTTCCATCACAGCACCTCCATGTCGATGTCGATGGTGGGCAACTGCCTGCTTTTGGTGTACACCTGTCGCTCAATTATTCCCCAAGGCTCTCCATCGAGTACAGATCAGGACTGCACGTAGGCCATTCCATAACATCTGTCGCTTCACCCATGTGGATGTTGACTTGCTGGCATGGACACTTGCATTGTCCTGCTGGAAGGCCAGCCATTGTCGTCGCTTGCGGCTCAGAAACGGCAATAACGTGGATTCCAAAAACTGGTGGTACTATTGCTAGTCCATTCGACAGGATAAAAGTGCGAGCCCGAGCTATCCCCAGCAGTAAGCTCGCTACACCATCAGCGAACCACCACCGAAGTTGCGCCTGCCGAATTGGTCAGGGTCCTTCCCCAGATCACGCCCATAGCAGTTTGCTTCATCGAGTCCATCCAAGTTGAACTTCTTCCCGTCGGACAAGTTTACTTGAAGACTTCAAGTGGCTTTACAGTGTACGAGCTACGCTCAGCTTCACTACTGTAAATGTTTCCAATCCAAAAGCCAAATCTTTAGGAGCAAAATCGAGGCGAGCCATCTTGTGTGAGTCGGTTAAGCGTTGCGCCTTTCTCATGAATTCTCTCACAATGTTGCCGCTGCGTTTCATAGATCTCCAAACGGTCGTTTTCGACGCGGAGATTTCAAGTTTACACAGATCTAGTTGACACTGCTGGTGCTGTTCGAAGGTCTCCTC